AACTAATCCACATTTTTTCATTTTCTGTTTTTTGCTCTACGGTGAAGTGAAATCCTCAGATAAAAATCAAACCATCCTCATTTGTTTAACTGTCGTACTGTCTTGTCTGTGAGCGCTAATATGATGAGTCTGAACTCTGTGTGTGTGTGTGTGTGTGTTTTGGTAGATGTTGGTTACCCTCTGTCCCGGCCGGTCCCGGAGGAGGAGAAGCCGTTCAGCGAGGAGTTGCTGCAGAGCGTGGTGAAGAGCATCCAGAGGAACGACATCAGCCGGCCAATGGCTCAGCTGCTGCAGCTGCTGGGTCAGACGCTCGGGGTCAAAAGGCAAAGGTCAGCACTGAAGACATTTAGAGTTTTAGAATCATCACCTCTCAAAACATGTGTGGAGATCGTTTCGTGTGTGAATGAACACGTAAACTCTGCCATCGTGCAGAGCAGGAGAGGGTCAAACCCTCAAATGTTTACTGAAATGTGTGAGAGGGAAAGTTTCAATACATTCAATTCACTTACAGAACAATAAATAACTACTCAAGGCTGATTTATGTACAAAAAGAAAAGTTGCCACTGCACACATACTTCCACGTTTCTCACATTGGCTTGGTTTTTAAACAATACATCCACTGGAGTTTGTGTAAATGAAAGTATTGATAGGTAAGTAATTTCGCACTGTTAGTGTCATACTGTCAGTATCTGAGAACAAAGTCTAAAAGCTTCTGTGATGACTTGTTTCTTTACTTCTGCTCTTTTCTTCTTCGTCAGGAGTTTGTACAGAGACATCCTCTTCCTCTCCCTCGTGGCTCTGGGCAAAGATAACATCGATATCGGCAAGTTCCAATCACATTTAACTTTGTCAAAAGGACAAATAAAAGTTTAAATATACATTTAAGGTGCTCGTACGATGTGGAACTGGAAGAATAAACTTGCCGTGATGGATTTTTTTGACCACTTGAGGGCAGCAGAAACAAGCTGTGAAAAAAATGTTGCAGTATGAAGTTGAAGTTGGAATCACATCAGTAAATTGTTATTCTTATTTATACAGATTTGTTTCTGGTGACCTAGCTATCGTAAGTCCAACACTGCCAGATCAAAACAGTGAAGCTAAAGGACCCTGAAATGCTCCATGGATCTCGTTTGATAAAATATTGATCACAGCAGATTTAAAGGAAGGAAGAACTTGTAAAAACTGTATTGATGCTGTTTTCTTCTCCCCTCAGACGCCTTCGATCGTGAGTACAAGTTGGCGTACGACCGCCTCGTGCCGAGCCTGGTGAAGCTGACCCACAACTGTGACCGTCCTCCCAGCACTGGGGTCATGGAGTGCCGCCGGACGTTTGGCGAGCCTTACCTGTGAACACTCCCCGTCCGTCACACGCCTGGATGAACTCTCATCACCGACGCATTAAGACGAGCTCAGGAAACCTGTTGGAAGACTGTGAATGTGCACTAAGTGATCAAAACGGTACAGTCGACTGTGGTCAGCGTTATGTAGCCTGAAACACAACAAAAAAAACTTTTACAGACAATATCTCAACTAAGTGACGAAGGGAAATCAATGCACAGCGTTCATGAACATCCATTGTTGATCTGGTTTCTCTTGGAATCCTGTGAAAAAGGTACAAACAGCAGCAGAGGATTTTTTAAAATGCAGCATTTATATTGTTCAGTCACAGTATATGAAGACGGTTAGCAATATTTTAATTTGAAGTCTATTTATACAGAGTCAGCTTTATTTATTCTAGTGTTTTATCGTGTCCTGTAGTCGCTGGACGTTGTTTTCTCGCAGTTTAAACCAGGACGGACGACCTGAGCGTTCGCAGCTCGTTTCCAATTACACGTGGAGAAGATGCTGACGTTTGAATTTAGTGTCTGTTGTAAATAATGAACCAGGTTTCTGAGATTTATCAGTCGGGGCGTAAAAACAAACATTTAAATTGGAGCTGCAGTTAAATCAATTATTCAGATTTTGGACAACAACCAAATCTAAAACATCACAAAGAGTTCTGGGACATTCTGATTCCATATTTGTCCACTGATAATATTTTCGTCATGAGCTCAATAATGAATCCTCGGCTGCAGCCCTGATTTAAACGTGTGAAACAACTTTGGAAGCTGCCTTGTTTAATGTTCTGCTGCTTTAAATGTGATTTCATTTTAATGTAAAGTTCCATATCGGTTTGTTTACAAAAAAAAAAATGTAATGATTTCACTGCACATGAACGACTTTTTAAAGTTTCAGCACATTTCGTTAACCAATCAAACGTCAGTATTACTGTTCATGTGTGAGAGGTGCGGACTGGAGCCGGTGTCTGATCATGAGATGCAGTTTACTCCCCTCACCAAGAAAACGGCCGATGTTTCGACAACAAATTCCAAAGAGACAAATGAAACCTAACGGAGCTGTTGTTGTGAGTTTGAAACTTTGCTCAAACCCAGGATATCGTTAACCGGCTTCACTTATCTCAACATTGGCCGTCCTGAGAACCTGTCCTACGAAGCCGGTTAACTTTATATAGTGTGATGTTATAAAACCACATGAAAAGCCTGGAACACAAAAACTATTCATCTCACTATAAAAATTGTCTGTAACGGTTTTAACTTCTTACTTTTCTGAAGCCTGAACTCTTTTGTCCTCGTCAGGATCCTGCAGATCATCTCTCTGGTTTTTATCTCTTATCTTAAACTTAACCCGCTTCAGCATAAGTGACCACGAGAAGGGGACGTTCCATCACCAAGGCATGAGCAGCTCACCGTGGTGAAGAAAATAAGAATATTGTTTCAAAGATCTGTACAAAGATGATTTGAATTCAACCCACCCATAAAATTCTATTACTCAGAGGGATATACCACAGAATATTTCAGTTTTTTTGTTCTCTGCCCATTAAACCAAAAATGTTTTCATGGAAATTGGCTCCATAGTTTCTGCGTAATCCTGACAACAGACAAACAAAACCTGTGAAAACACAACGTCCTTGGCTTAGGTAGTAAAAATAATTCATTCAGCTCAGATCCTTTTTATTTCTAAACATCGAAAACTTTAACTGATGTTTTTTTCTTTTAAGTCAAACGAATATAAATGTTTGGACTCAACACATTCTGGATCAACTGGATTTTTAGCAGGACAAAAACTCGTGAGTGTCACGGGACATGACAAGTGTTGTTTTCATGTGTGTGTCGATCACACATGAAGGACGCACTGGCACGCTGGTTGCAGGAGGACGTCCAGAGTCAAACCTCAAGGACGTCTCATGAATGTCAAACCCTGTGTGTGTATGTGTGTGTGTG